GACACATATGCATTTCCTCCAGGCATTATCTATAATTTGTCCTCAAGGGACAAAAGTCCCAGGAGAATAAAAATCTATTTTCATTTCATATAGTGGTTAGAAGGCTAGGATAAGTTATTTAAAGGGATGGATAGAGGAACACTGGGATAAGCAAACTTGTGAGCTTTAAGAGATAGATTGGGTGGGAGAAAGGACACCTGTGAAGTGTGCAAGTATTTTTCATATGATAATTATTACACGACAAAACCTACCTATCCACCGCCCTCCCCTCTTTTATTTTCCGCACCGTTGGAAGCCGTAGCTCCAAGAGGGCGACAATACGGTGGCCTGAAAGTAATAAACTACGACCCCCTTATGTTCCATGTTCCACACCCCCGACCCCCGACCCCTAACTCATCTAGTTTTAAGGAGTTAGGAATTCATAAAGCGTAGTAAAATAAAAAAAGATGCAGTTAAAGAGGAGTAGCGCACGTTGAGGGTGCGGTTAGTATTCTGCACAGCCCTCCAGTTCACACCTGTTCTTATTAGGTATTCCCATCACTCCTTCTGATAACGGGCGCCCGCTTTTATTTTCCTTTTTTTTTCTTTTTTTTTTTGCTTTTTTTCCTCCCTCTTCTAGTCCCTTTTTGCAATGTCCCACGTTTTTTCCTTTCTTTTTTTTTGCGTTCCGTTTAATCTGCGGTTCACTTCATCTATCCCCGGGGTGGAACAATTGTAATATTTTATAGCTGAGTGTCGGGCCGGCACATGTTAACGAAGGAGCAGATTATTTGATATGAAGAGAAATTTGGGTTGAGTAAACGATATGATTACGGTAATCATTTGCCCAATATAAATAAAAAAAGCTATTATCTATTACATATGGAAATAGATTATTTATGTAGTTCAAATAATGTATTCAGATGCTGAATGCACCAATGCCTCTTTATCCAATTTAATACCCTCACTAGTTTTTTTTTTTCCTTTTAATCATGTACTTTTAATATTTTTCTAAATTATTCTTAAAACGACACCTTTTTATGACAACCGCCTAAAATCATATGAAAGGTTCAGTTAAATTGATCTAAAATTCAGAGTGAGGTAATCTATATATATAACTATATCGTCATTTTCATACAAAAAATCATTGATTGACATTTCATAAATTCAAATCATTAAGAACTACAATGACTTTTTCCTAAGCGCAATCAGAAGATGTTGCATTAGTGTAACTTTACATGATGAATAAAAGGGTTTGTTGTCACTTTCATGCAATTATATAGTTTCTGATCAGATAAATAATGGCGAACTTAACAAAAACCAATCTGAAAGTTAACCTATATGAAAAAGCACTTAATGACTTTTTGTAATAAACCGGCTGATATATAAGAAATAAATATTAAAAACGCTTTCAATCCACAAATAATTTTGAGGATGTTTCTCAATCTATTTTTTATTCATTATCCATGTTACTGTTAAAACCAACAAACAAAGAGACCTAAGTGCAGACTATTTTCGATTTAAAAAACAAACAACACAACAATTTTTAAACATTAAAATAAAGTTTCGTATTATTTTTTTTTTTTTAGATATCAAAAGTCTTTTAGAGTACTATAGTTATGATGCTTTCCATTATTTCTGGCAAAATTTTGTTTCTGAAAGATATGGGATTCTACGCCATTTGAGTAGTATAGGAGAGATTTCGATGAAAAATAATTAACTAAATTCGACCTCTACTACAATACCCAAACTATTCACACAGGATGATAATGGCAACGATTTGATTAAAGAAAATGTACTACTATCAATACTGGAACTTGGTTTGAGATAGAATAACATTTTATTATCTCGATTCAGGACAGTTAAACTTATTCAAAATTTTCTCACTGAACAGAAACGGGCATCACATATAATCCATTGTTGACTTTATATTTTATTTTATTCTTATAGTTTAATCTATTGTTTTCTTTGTATATATATATATATATATATATATATATATATATATATATAACTTTTGTTTTTACATATATAGTTCAATGCTGTACTAAAATATGCAGAAATATGGATAAAAAAATGGTATCGTGATTAACTCCTATGGAAAAGATAGATATATAAAACACATACATCAAACATATGTATTTATATATCAAGAAAATAAAAATAGACTGAGAAGAGGAGACTGCCCTGGAGAGAAAGGGGTTAGCAGGGAATATGAAATATAGCCGGCATAAATTAGGGATGTTGGGGCAGGTCAAAATCCTGCCACCCCCTCCCTCCCACAATGTGAAAAATTATCTCCTCTACATCTCGCCAGGGGGTGCTGTCTGCTCCCGTCTGTCGGTGCCAGTCTATGTCTATATCATATCCTCCCTTTACGTCTTGGCTCTGTCCACTGTTATTGGGTAGGCGGAATGATCTCGATCTCTTGAGTAGGCAGGACCATTAAATGAATCGTTTATTTCCAAAGTGAACCCTTATAATACTAAACTATATTTTCTATTCTAATTTTAACCTCAAAAGCAACGTATAGAAGAAAAAAAATTAAGAAATTTGTAATTTGTCTTAATATTTTCGAAAATCTTCAATTATTTTAATAGAAATTTAAAAAATGTTTAATCTTTAATGGGACCACTTTTGGAACGAATTAAAGTTTAAGGTCCGTTTTCGGACAAAAAAAACAAACAGGTTAATTGAGGTTTGGTAAGGAAATAAAAAATGGCGTATGACTCGAGAATAAAAACAATTAATTAAAATTTTATTTAAAAAAATATTAAACTAATAATAACAAAATAAAATAAGTTTAATTTTAAATTTCAGCCGAATAAAACGCGTAAAGATCCTCTTATGAATTTAAAAAAAAAAAACCTTAAGAAGTTCATGTATTTTATTTAGTAGCCTATTTTGCAAAAGAGTATAATCAGAATAAAAAACAAACCTATTATAAAAATGTATATAAACAAAATATATGTTGTCCAATAATAAATAAAGTTTAATAAGTAAATAAAAATTAGGTCGGGTAAGATCTTTCTCAAACTAAGTTTGACGTCATAGAAAGGAAATTGAAATGGAAACCGTATTGAATGATACAAAAGTAAACTTTAAGCTGAGATAATTTTTTAATATTAATGTTTCGTTTTTATTAATAGACTAAATTTTAAAAAGTATATATTTTTTTAATATTATGATGGCTACGGTGGAACATACAATTATATCAGTTAAAACCCATCAAGACCATTTTCTACTACATACCAACTGCTCTAACAAATGTGGTTAGTTAACACCGATTAACCTCAAGGATTTGACAATAGAACATTAGAGATAGATTTTATTAAATAAAATCCTTAGACCATGGCCAAATAGTCCATCGTGTTTTGATTAAATATGAATTTAAATGCTACAGATTTAAAAAAAAAAAATATTTCGATTCTAATGTAGCGTTTATTTTGAATATTTTTAAAAACTATTGAGACCGCTCTAATTGCAGACTGGAGAGAGAAGGAAGTATACATTTGCAAGACCTCGATAGGTCGTTCGCTCCGGACCTTGGGAAAGGAAAGATCTCCCCGAAGATGGAGGTTTTTAATAATTATCAATTCAGGGTTAGGGCAGGCGCCGGTAGACATTTTTATTATTCCTTTTGTTCCTATTGCCTGTTACTTCTTCTTATGGAATTCCAAAATGTTTTAAAAACAAAAACAATTAATAAATAAAGTTGGAATAAGATAAAACAGCGTTTATTCAAACTCAAGGGTTTTTGCCAACTACTAAATCCCATGACAAAAATCAAATACATTTAGATTCTATTCTCTTTCACTTATTATTACTTTATCCACTCCTTTATCATTTCTAAATCCTGAAGTGAAAGCATGTTTCATTTTTCCAAAAACCATCTGATTTCACTGTGGTCCGTAGTACAAACACCTTTTCATCAAATTATTAACATCCACCTGAAACACCTTAGATAGCTTTATCTCATCGTAACCTACAACTGTTTTATTTACGAAAATTCTCGGAGTTGTGGCGTTTTCAATCCACGGCAAATCCACGTAGGTCGGCAAACTTTGTCCATTTAATTAGGTACTAAAAACTCGAAAACACCAATTCGCTTTCCACTTGAATCGTAAGATAATTGGAGCACAAAATCGAGAAAAAAAAGTGGCCTTCAAAAATATTGAGCCGTTTGACGTGACCTATAACTCCAAAGTAACGAGGTTGTATAAGCCAAACGGCCCAATATTTTAGAAGGCAAATTGTTTACTAGATTTTGTAATCAAATAATCTTACGATCCAAGTTTTTATTAACTATCCAAAAATCCATCGCTCCTGAGAGTTGTAATATTCCTTCAGTTCGATGCCATTTTATTATGTTTTTATTCAATAGGTTTTAGTTCAAAAGTCACCAATAAAAGAATTTGTATTTTATTTCTTAATTTTTCCGACATTATTGCGTCTTAAACGATTTTCAAGAATCAAAAAAAAAATTTAGTTCAATTAATTTTCTTCAAAATACTTCAATTTTAAAATATTATGTTACATATATTTCCCTTATTCTAAATTATTATTATATAGAAAAGTAAATACAAAACATAATAATTTTTGATTATTTTAGTTTAAATTTAATTTATATTACCTACATCTACAAATCATACACTATTTTATAAAAAAAAACTTAATATATAATTATTATATATCTCGTCTGGTGATCCATACTTTATTTCAGAGAATTTCGTTGTGATTTCTAAAAGTTAAATACAAATAATTTTTTAAAAAAATGTTAAATTTTATTTCTAAGAAAAGAAATATAGTAATTTGATTTTGAAATATATAATTAAAAATTCCAACAGTTAATCACTGCAATCAAGTAGTGATATCAAGCTTAATGAATATCCATTTCCACGATACTTGATTTATAGGCTGTTAAATATCATATGAACATTTAGATAGAACACATAGCATCTATCTATACAATGAAATACATTAAATTTTGACTGGGGCAAAACATCAACGGGAGGTGACATATGTACATATCGATAGGGACTGAAGGGACGTCAGTCAGCAAACGGTTGCAGAACAGGAGAAAGTCGTCACATATGTGTCACATTACAGTCCCGGTGCCCTCTCCGCTGAGGAAGGGAACAAAGAATTTGCGTGGGGTTGCGCTCCACAATGGCCACGTGATGGCCTACTCAATGCCTCCCTAATTTTGTTAAGGGAGCTTTTTTTTTTTCCTGGGAAGTCACAACTGCTGGTCGGAGAACGGGTGTCGGAATCAGCATTGGCCATGTTTGAGAGTCTAACGAGAATTGCTAACGACAACGAAGGTTGGTAAAGAAAATTCCACAACAAGAAAATATTAATAAAAATCGCTAATGATAGAGATTTAAAAAAAAAAAGTTAAAATTGTATAATGGCATTAAAGAATTTTTGAAGGAGGCTGAGGGAGTTAGGGAATATAAGTTGAGTAGATAGATGGAAGGCAATAATTGAATGTGTTTCCTTTTAAAACATGAAAAGATACGATACTAAAAGAAACATACACATAAAAATACTTCTACCCTTCCACTCCACAGCACACACAAGCCACTATGCTAACATAAATATATTAATCTTTTTTTGGGACTTGCAGATAACGTATTGTGTTACTAGGATACATGACTTCAAATATTAAATAAAAAAGAAATAAAAATTAAGCAATAATAACTAAAGGGCTAAGCGATACATGAATTAATTTTTTTTTTTTTTAATTTGATAAAAATGACCAGTAAAGCGAGCAAAAAATAAGAGAGTATAAGATATGACTGGTATCATTATAAATACTTTTTCTCGAAGAGAGAGAGAGAGAGAGAGAGAGAGAGAAGATAGACAGAGAGGGAGGGAGAGCATTGCCTAGCAACCCTCCCCCGGATCCCAGAGCCCAGGATTCCGCTTACTGGGAATTTGAGGGCCCCACCCGATATGAGTCAGAGTATTGAACCACTTTTACACTCTCTTTCCTTAGCCCATTGTTCTAATAGTCTGTCTCGTCCTTCCTTCTGCCTTTGGAGGAACCGTCAAGAAATGCTCAATGAAGGACAGTGCGGAATAACTTATCAGAATGGGTAGGACATAACATAACTCACTACTAGCATTTAATAATGAAAAAATAAGTCTCCACTTTTTTCACTATAAGCTAATAGATTTAATAAAATGAATACAAATTATAATAAATAAAAGACCTATGGGACTGATAACATTTTACGGACAAAAACACTAAGAAAAAAATTGAAAGAAAAACATCTCATTCCTTAAAAACAATTATCTTTCCGAATGTGAACCAAGATAGCATGAACAAGATAGGAACAAACGAGGCTACGAACGAACTTAGAAAGGAATATTTTCTTCATTTTTCTCCTCATTCAAGGAAATGTTTGCCAATTGAGTACAAGGCCAGAGAGCCCTATGCCTTTCGAGAAATAACAGTAAAGAAGATGGTTGCGGACAGACAGCTGGAAGACAAATGCCCACGGGCTGTATAATAACGGCACCATCCTTACCGTTAGCAGCCTTGCGGTAACACAACAAACAGTTGTCACTTGCCTAAATTAATTCGAGCGGAAAACGCCTGTGCACTATCTCCCTTAGCGCCTGATGAATGTTACTTTAAGAGACCGAAACCTCTTCAACAGTACAAATTACACCAATCAAAGACGGCTCGTTTTTTATTCCTCCCTCCTTGCGCCCATCTCACGCTTCATCAGTATTGTTCTTGCCCGGAGGGTGTCACCTCCTCGTTACAGATCCCTCCTCCTCATGTACCTGCCTGTCATCCCGCAACCTACGTAGCAGTCAGTTCTTCGTCATCTGTCTCCAGTTATCAAAGTTAATTTGATGATCATCCTAAACTTGGATAATTGTATAGCTAGCTCACTTCTACCCCCTTTCCTCTCTACTATATTGTGCTAATGACCGGTGTTGAATTTGATTATTAAAAACTACCTGTATACTCCACATAAAACAATATATATATTGCAAGACAAATAAAACACTTTCATGACTACTGACCTGTTACCTATGACCTATGTTAATTACTCTTTCAATGAAATATAATACAACAAAAACATAAGTTCGACTAATGATAACGCACATTATCCCATCCTCTTGGCCCTAATATAGCCTAAATGAACGAAAGTTTGTTTGAATGAATACAATTACTCCAAATACTTCAATATTTACATACTATTATTTCGTTAGTTTTTAAGTGAAAAATTCTTTTAGCGCGTTTTGCAACTTTTTCAGGAGAGTGAAGTCAGTAAAAAATCGAGATAATTGTTCAGCATTACATTCTCTCTGCAATGGACTATATTATGCAAAATTGTATCTTAACCCGACGCCATGTTAGAGAGGCGAGAAGAGAAAAAATAGCGTCGAAAACCAAATCATAATGAGTTTTATAGAAGATATGGATTAAAATATCTCAGAAACAAAAAAATCGCAAGTGCATACTGTAAGCGATGGAATCGTTCAGCATTTCATCTAATGGACTATTATTCAAAATGGTATCTTAACGTGACACGCCGTGTTAAAGAGGCGAAAAAGAAAAAAAATGTCGAAAATTAAATGATGACGACTTTAATGGAAGATGTGGATTAAAATATCTCAGAAACTAAAAATCGGACCTGCATACCATAAATGAGAGAAATTATCAGTATTGCATCCTCTTTATAATCAGCTATTATTTATAATTCATACTTCATATTATTAATTTCGCATTGTTGATATTTTCATTTTTTCGTGTGGCCTAAAGCACAAACCTTATTTTTTTTTATTACACAAATTCTATTTGAATATCAATTTTATTCCATTGCACTATAGCGTTTTTTTTTTTGTTTTTTTTAAATAACCGCCTATTTCTTTAGTTTTCAAAACTTTTAAGTCACAATTCTTCTTCATCCCAGTTATCTAGATGATGTACCTACTAAAGTATAATAATATACATATCCTATTTCACTTATATATGTATTAACTTATATATGTAACAAAATATATGTGTTCTAGTTAACATTGTTCCAACATTTTTTGCAAATACCCTCTCCCCTCAAGTTATTCCATAAATACATATTTACTATACATAAATCCTATAAATACCTTCATGCAATAACAGTAAACCAACACAAAACGATCCTTTATGAAGATTGTTAAACAAAACGGATACACCAACAGTTTATTTATAGATATGGCTACAGATGACACCTCTGAATATGAGATGAAGACTAAAAATGTACTGGATGAGATATCTCATTCCTTATGTAAGCAGATGTTAAGCAAAAATTTAAGTAATTTATCTCAAGAATAATTGATCCTGTAATTACCGTTATTTTTTTTGCCATATAAGGACCACTTAAAGAATGGAATATCATTTTAAATAAGTTACTTTTTTCGTCTACAGTAATTACCGATATTTAAAAGAAAATTAAGTTCCCGTAAATCAATTCCTGGATCCGCTACTGCTAGAGGATATTGTCCTTTCCCATTGCTGACAGGTCACTGTTTTCTGAAATATCAGCCAATAACAGTTTACAGTCGTGAATAAATAACGAAAAAACGACGACAATGGAGTCCAAATCAATAAAATTTACGAATATATAACAGAGGAAAAAACAACAAAATTTGAAAAAATATAATTAGATTTATTTTTCTCATAAGCCTTAAGCTAAGAGAGGAAAGGAGGTCAGAAGTCAAAACCACACAAAGAAGCCACAAAAGAGCGGGAGCGCCACCATAAACAGCCGAGCCAGCGGAAGAGGATGAGAGAGATATGAGTAATAATAAAAGTGAGAGAGAGAGAGAGATAGAGAAGGAGAGAGATATCCTTATCTCTAATAGCGAGAGAGAGAGGAGGAGGGGGGTAAACAATGGCAGGTCCACTGTGATGCTGGGACCCCCATTATATGACCCCCCTTGGAGATCTATAAGTCGAGACCGAAGCCCCCTTCCCGCCCCCCCCCCCACAAAAAGTATCTTTCACTAAGGACGATAACTCACATCTAAATGGGCAAATTCATTACTTAAAGTCCCTTTTCTTTTTTCAATTAGCCGTCGTTTCCTCAAACTGCTGTTCCATTCCTTACCCCCTTCCGTTCCTTCCCGTTTATGCTACGATTTATTCTACTAGAGCAGCTGGTTATTGCCGTTTGTTCCAACCAACAGAAAAGAAATGAAAGTCGCATCAAATATAATTTACAAATTTAAATTTACAAAAAAAAAAATTAATAATTATTCGAAAGATTTTTAGTATGCTTCTTTCCACCAACCGTAGTCAAGGAAAGTTTGTTTTCATGCAGAAATGGAAAATTTCAATGTTGCAATTTCTATACCAAGGAAAGAATATGTTTACTTGCCTGTATAGTGTTCCCCCTCAATATCCACTAGCTTTTATTAGTACCGAGGATGTGTTTGAGACATTAACGCAGAGATCTCCTGGAGTACGCCTTTTCCCTCCACGGGTGAGTTGATAATAATAAAATTAAAAAATAATAGATTTGAAGTTTCATAAACATAAAATAAATCTTCCAGTGCAATAATTACAACCAGTCAAGGGAACTCTGAACCAAACTTATATCTATACTTCTGAGGGAAATATAGGACTCCAGAAATTTGCAGGAACTTCTCATGTTAAGTTCTTATCTCGACTTCCAAAGAATAGTCCTGAGGATGACCCACATATTTGGGTCTAAGCGTCAATTTTCTTGAATCCCAATAATTGATCAGTTGACTGCTTACTCATCTCTATACTGATCTTACTTAGCAGATGTTTTTCATTTTTGTGTTATCATTAATCTTTAATTGGTTGTAAATTTTTACGTAGCATTTGATTTTAATGATTATGAATTAAACTATGTAAGAAAAAAACTGCCTTAAGTAATCAATTTAATTAATTACCTTACAGATGTAGGAAGTAGTATAGAAAACCATATTCAACACTCACCTGCAAACAAAAAAGAAAATTAATTAGAGATAAAATTAAGACAAAAAAAAAAATTATAACAGTACCATTTTTTAAAATTAAACTTGATTATTACGATGAAAATGTCTCACCAATGTCATAAGGGTGGACTAACATCGTCATTTCCATGTTGGCGTTAGGATTGGACGGCAGCTCGACGACCAACAAGCATAAAGACCAATGTAAACCAAAAATGCCAAACCGCACGACCGGCAAAAAAAAATCCTAGTCCCTGCGCCCAACCAACAGGATAGAAAAAAAAAAAAGAATTAACAGGGGGTCGAAAAAATTCATTAAAGCTCGGTCAGTGGTTGAAAGCTTTTTAATGGCTAGCCACCCGAGAGTTAACAACTATGGCCGACATTTTTAAAGTCCCCATTTCCCAAGTACCTATACCAGTACCAGCCGACATCGCTGGCGATAACAGCTTATATGTTGCTACATCAACATCTAGTTCATAACACCATTAAACGAGGTAGTCGCGTTTGAAATAATACTACACACACCATATATCAACATAATGAATATTTTTCTCTTAATGCATTCCGGAATACCTAATTATTTTGAATTGTTCGATTTAAATTGGTTTAGACAGTTTTGTGATAAATACTTAATTAAGGTCTTTACATCTCGTTTCAGTATCTTACAAGAAAAAAGGCATATGTCAAACTTAGAAATTTTCAAGGATTACATGAAAAAATTAGGATAAAGTATATCTAAAACATTAAAATGACAGTGCTTTTAATTATTAGCTGGCGAGATTTAAGGAGGGCATAAGCCCCATAAAAATCAATTTATACCCTCAATTTCTACCTAGCAGCTTATTACAATTTAAAAATTTGTAACATCGCTCCATTTCATTTCAAGTTGCAGTACATCACTAAGGTCTGTATTCTTATACAAAAATATTTTTTGAAAAAATATGAATCAATATCATTATGTAAGAAATCATCCTAAATGTTTTAGCAAATTTGCATGTTCCATATTTTTGAATATTTGCTCAAACTTTGATTTCTTTATAAAATTATGTTGAGAAGGCATTTATTATACTTCAATTAACTGGACTAATTTAAGGCATCAGAAAATTGTTTAATTAATAATTTAATGACATATTTCAATAGTTTTTTTTTCGTATAAATCTGGGCCTTGTATTGTAGCCTCAAAATTTTACAAAAATCCTAGTAATTTATATTTTTTGCAATTATTAAAGCCGTAATTTAGTTTTTCTTATGATTTTTTTAAAGTTTATTGTGTCCTCCTCGAATATTTTGTAAATATTTTAGTAAATACTACGCACACAAAAATCACTTTTCACATAAAAAAGACCTTTGAAAATTCGTCTAAATATAAAGAAATTATGAATCATAAAACGATGACATTCTTACTGTATAATCCTAAGTTCTTCAAATAAATTAAAATCATTAAAATTAAATTTCATTAAAAATGTCATGGTTTTCGACCACAAAAAAACTCAAATCCTTCCAAATGATATATTATATTTAAATAGGGTAAATAAAGGATTCTAAAAATGATCTGATCAGATATTGGTCGAGTTCCCGGGAGACCAACTGAACTGAATGTGGTCCCAGGTTTCAATCTCGCCAGGTATTTATCACTTCGCAGCTGAACCGAAATTATCAGTGTCTAGCCTTACTTGATAACTGCTGATAACAAGTACTTCCTTTCACAGGTAAAGAAGGTACATATGGGCGTTAAATCAAATATACAGTAAACAAAATAAAAACAGCTTTTTGTTTTTAACTTAATAATAAACTTTTTTTTTATGAAAAAAAATCAATATATTTAAAATGGAAATTTCTCAAAAATTAAATAATAATAGTTATATTGTAAAAAAAAATTAAACATAATAAACAATAAATTTTGAAAACACCAGTATTTTTCAGAACATTAGTAAATATGTCGTAATGACTATATGAGAGACAATGATAAACGGATTAGAGGAATTGACAATTACAAATACATACAATACAATATAACATTATCCGTGTAGATATTAATACACAGATTGTCGACATAAATTATTACTGGCTTTTGGCTATTACAATGTTCTCAATTGGCCTAGCTCTAGTGTTGGCATTAACACCAACCAATTGCTAGTATAAAGGGGGGGGGGGCTCCAATCACCCAACACTGATTTTGTACACGAAGAGCAACTACATTAATTATTTAAAAATAAACTAAAATATATAATTAATTAAAAGTACAAGATTTATAAATAGTATTTGTATAATTCTTAATTTATCATATTTCGTTACTTTAATATCCAAATACATTTATTCCTATGATATTTGGACGAAAAATTACTAAAATGAATATTTTTTAAAAATATATAAAATACAGCTTCAAGCTATAATGTGTTTTTTCTAATTGGATTCAGATTTAAAAAATAATACTTGGTTTATATTGGTTTCATTTATCATTTATAGATATATCATATATATTTTAATGTTTAAAAAAACCGAAAAAATAAACAGATGGTTGAATCAACATTTTAAAAATTATTTTTATACCTAATGACGAAATATAAAAAAATAATTCGAAGTAAAACTTTCTTTAAAAATAAAAAAATAATTAATTAATTTTCCTCATTTAATTTTTAATACTTCAATGAGTTTATTTTTATTACAAAATAGTTTATTAATAAATATTTTTATTTAGTTATTTCTACAATATATTACTATTAGGTCACTATATTAATTATTCTGTAGAGATCAGTATCAAGTTGGAAAAGAATTGTTGCTTAAGTTACTTTTATAAACCAAAACTGATATTTTTCTTAAAATTTATCTCACTGTGTTATTCTACAGTTTGGTCTGGATAAAAACCATCTATCATTAAAAAATAAAAAATAAATATTTTGGCATTGTAATACGATGAATTGTCATTATAATTTGACTATTTTCTCATATATTTTCAGTATCCAAATTAAATTCATTAAATGTCAGAATTGTATTAAATAAATATTGAAATGAATACTTTTAAAATAAAGATTTATCTATTTAAAATTTTACATAATGGTGCCGATCAATATGTGGATTTTTTTTAAAATTTATGATTGTAAACATGCAAATAAAAATATTTTCAGACTTAAAGTAAATTAAAACATTTTATTAAAATATTGAATACTTGCCGAATCCGAAACCGAATATAACAACGCCAGAAATCTTAGACGATTCGTTAATTTCATAGTTGAATGTTAAAAATTGTATAGTTAAAACAACACAGAAAATGTGAATTTTTTCAGTACGCCATATTTTGGTCAATTCTTTATCAAATTATCCTCCTGCTTTAGGTGCTAAAAACGAACTGATCCCCCAGACAAGATTGGATAAAAGTGATGAAGAAAAGGATACCATTATATATTGCACATAGCTCATCCGAACTGTCCAACAAGTAGGCGTAATATAAGGAACAATTTTTTTTTTCCTACATAAATAATAACATAAACATGAAGATAAAGGTGGGAATGATGTGTGTATAATTTCAGTTATTGTTATTAACTAAATACGGGCAAATTTCCGTTATGCTCGGAGCAGTGTGAAGGCTTAAGAAATTGATGAAAAAGACATTTTTTTTCCACTGACCTGTCCCAAAGGCATCGACGAGAAAGTTTTAGAGAAAAAAAACAACTCATAGGCGTTCCAGGAATGACCATTTTTTTCCAGACTCCAGGTTACATTCCCGACCCGTCGTTGCCTGTCCGCCCTCTTCAATCTCACCAAGGTTGAATTTACAATTTTGGAGAATTATTACGAAAAGAGGATGAAATACTGAACATTTCTATCGCTTACAGTATGCAGGTCCCATTTTTTGTTTCTGAGATATTTTAATCCATATCTCTCATAAAACTCTTTATGATTTGATTTTAGACACTATTTTTTACAGTATTGCCTCTCTAACACGGCGTAGCATTAAGATACAATTTTTGATAATAGCTCATTATGAAGAGGATGAAATGATGAACATTTCCATCGCTAACAATATGCAGGTCCGATTTTTTGTTTTTGAGATATTTTAATGCATTTGCAAAAACACTTCAATTATCACCAGCCCACTTTACACGAGCGTTACACATCAGAGATCTGATGGCTCAATCTCCATAAAAAAAGTGCAAAACGCGCCTAAAGAAGTTTTCCCTTCAAAAAGTGGCAATCTTCTATGCCATCCGAATAGCCCAAGAGATCAGAGAATCATTCTCCTCTATCTATTTTTTCAATTGATACTTAGTTTGTCAAAGACGAATATAAAAAGCAATATTTAAATTAAAACTTCAAAAATACGCGATATATACATGGAGTATTGAAACTATAGCAGCTAAAATACATTCGACAGGAATTATGATTTATTTAGATAACGGGACATTTTTGAGCTTCAAAACGCAGTTCATCCCGCCTCGATTCATTGAGTTTGAAACCATCTCAGTTTTGACTCCTTCCATTTTTTGAATGAATTAATGAATTAAAAGAGGAATTTATGGATCAGAATTGGGATTCGTAACTTCTTCCTATAAAATTATCTTTCGTTTGATATTTCATTCATCAAAATACATCGCTGAGATCAAAGGAAAGTAAACTATACTACCGTAATACATATAATATAATTTATAATTAAACAACTTTCTATAACCATGGAATGGAAAGTTTTCAACAGAATATATTGCTACTTGTGTTTAAAAGTCGGTAAAGCAAGTAACAGTGACCTTTTTTTTTTCTTTCTTTTTGTCAACTAAGTTTTCAATTGCTGTTTTTACTTAACTTAGTCTAAATGTAATTAATCATTACTCCGTTTCTCGATCCATTAAGGGAACTAAGTGGGACGGTAATCATCCCATGGTTCCAGCTACATGGACGTACACACCGGCGCGAAGCATCCCCCGTAACGACGTCGACTCCTGTGTGTCTGCCTGCCATCCCGGGGACAGGTGCCACGGCCCTGAGGGATATCATGCCGCTCTGGCTACGCTTAATGCCTGGAAATTGCCATGTTAAGTCCTGTCAAGTCGGCTAGCTCCGGAACGGTACTCCGCTACCAGCGCCTCTCTACTAAGTATAGTAATTACTATTGTTCTACTCGAGCCTATAACTTGAGGGAAACTGTGATGGGAAATGGAGAGGATGGGGGTAGTTTCATTCCAATCCTCTCGTCTACGTGAATTGATTCAGGATTTTATAAGACTTCTAAGCTGATGCATACAATTTGTAAATAATTCAGATCTGAATGGCAAACTGTTGTCATTAAAAAAAAAAAATTAATTTAAATTAAAGAGGAGTTTAGTTTGAATGAAGTCTTTTTTTTAATCTAGAATAGAAAAGGGGAACAGGTGACCGAGTGGCCTTAGGCGTGTGCACAGCAACCTGCGTTTCCCGAAAACCTGATAACCGAAGTTTAACATAAAAACAAAACAATTATGAGTTCAAATCCCAATGTCCGCTGTAACTTATAACTCGCCCTCTCTCCGGCCCGAGAAAAATCCCGTTTAGCCTAAAAGTAGACAGGGAAGAACAAAACCAAAAATGGTAAAAAAATAGAAAAACAACTTCATTCTACGGGTGCTTTTTTTCTAAGTTTTTCCATATACATGGTATTTGCACTAAAACACTGTGCACAGGTACGACAGATATACAGAACAAATGAGAAATGATACAAAATAAATTAAATCGAGCTTAAAAGAAAAAAATATAAAATGTTTCTGCTACGCCCAAATACCATGAATTAGGTAACATTGGATAAAGAATTGTTTTCTGGATAATTCCTACAAATTGAAAAAAAAAAAAAAAGAAGAAGAAGAAGAAATTGAATTTGGAGCATTATTATTAAAGATAGAACCTATTGTCATTTGTAGACGTGTTTTGGATTATTTTATCTATTTTTAAAATTTTCTAACTTAGTTGATAATATTTAACAGAAAATGTCCACACTACGATAATATCGTTGTCACATTGTGTACTATATAAATAGTGAAAAAAAGTAACTTTAACCACTGTTAATTAATAATTAAAATATTTAAATGATAAGACATTCTGAATGAATGGAGATTTTTTTTCTGCTTCGACTCGATCCTTATTCGGAAGAGATAGGTAGAGGTACAAGAAGGAGAAGAAGAAGAAACAAGAAGAGAGACACCGCCAAAGAGGTAGCTATAAGGACCATCTGATATAGGGAGCCCTTGCCTTAGCTCTAATTAACGGAAACAGATTAATTACCTTCCTCCTTGGGCCGATAGTCTTTAAATGGGCGACCTCTTTGGAATGTATCTTTTATTATTACAACTTGTACTAGCTCCTAACTAATTACACTTTCTTCCTTTGTAACGAACGCCAGGGAGTATTATTACAGATAACAAGCCCCTCCTCCCTCCAGAACCGCTCTGCATGCATTAGTATTCCTGTAACAAACACATTCTTCGCCGGCTGGTCGAGCTGGTAGCGGAGTAGAAGGAGAATAGAGGAAGGAGGAGAGGAAGACGAATGGAGGTACAGAAATACAAAGGACTGAGGCTATATTAAAATACAGATTAGGCGGACGAGGTATTTTGATCCGCCGTTGGTGCCAGCTGGGTTTGCCAATGGTTGCCTCGATTTAACGCTAACTTTATAGCGAGAGCTATTCTCCCTCACTACTCAATTTGCATCAATGGTTATTATTTGCTCGTTATTAAAAGTCTTATAATATGAAATAAAAATAATAATATCCGACTTATTAAAGAGATAAACATATTGTTATTAATACCATACAAATGGAAAATTTCAAATTATGAAGCCATAACATGCAGGTGATCAGTACTCAACAAAAACTCAGGATTAGCCTTAACATAATGCAGACTAGTTCACAGCACTAATTCCATCATTGGAATCTACCGATAGATTGAATTTCACGGATGGACAGTAATTTATGCTGAGATAAAGAACGATCTGCTGGACACTAGTGGAAGATTAACATTTCTGTACGGTTAACAAATAAAAAAAAAAAGAAAAACATACGTATTGAAATGTCGAATTTCAAAAAAGATGTCCAACTGAATATAAATATGTAAAGTAATTGAGTAATGAAAAAAACACTGAGCTCATAATGATGGAACATCCAGGATCCATTGACCCAAAAAGCCGATGGTACTGCTGCGCTATAGATAATTTAATTGATGAATAAAGGAAAGCTCCGAGTTTAAGAACTTACTCTTATCAATAATTACATGCCTATGACAAAATTCGACTCGTAACCCTCTTTCAAAAATGTTATAACCAGGCATCGCCTATGGTATAGTAGTTTCAATTTAAAGAAAAAAGAATGGGAATAGATTTTGAGAAAAGTTTAGGAATTCCATATCGGGTTTTTTTCCTTGAATCATCCATAAAATAAAAAAAAATCTTGCATAGAACTTGCTAATTGTTATTTACTGTTTTAAAAACATCATTAGTAATATAATCTTATTAAATTTGTATGACATGCTGTATGCATTCGTTTCGACACAATATTTGCTATTTAGATTGTTAAATGTTATTTCGCTAGCAGAGCTAACTGCTGCTAGAGTGGCAGCTACTCCAAACTACTAATGGATCAGACCAGATCCGATGATCCACCAGCGATCCACTCTGTGTGGACCTGCTCTTACCGGAGCCCAATTTACATTGTAATTACATTATCCCTTTTGGATATTACAATGCAATTACAATACTATTTAACCACCCCTGGATAATTATACAATGTCACAATGTAATTAGATATGTCTAATTTCCATTAGCGATATTAGCAAGCTATTAACCGTTACACCGTCCACTTTTGAACCTTTGTTATGTGAATAATTTTAATGTATCATTTATTAATGGTTTATCAATAATGAAAATTAACTTTAGAATAATTTATCATAGACCAGTGTATAATTCGTAATATTGAGGATTTGTAAAATTTTGAATTGATTTTATTTCTTTTTTTATCAATATATACATATCAATTGTTTAGATTTCAAAAGTTAAAATATACAGCCAAATTCTCTTATTTTAATAGCCAAACTCTCGGAGGTGATTCTAGATAAAATTTTACACAAAAAAGTTCATTTGATGTTAGAGCAAACTCCGAACAGAAAAGAGGTTAGGACCAATTTTGTTTTCTTAAGGGAGTTACCGTTTTTATTGAATGAGAAGGAATTTCTCAAAGACTGTTCAAGATAATCAAATAATAAGTACACCATCGTAAGGTAAATAAAATTTCATAGAGAAAATAGTGATTAAATTTTGTAAAGTCAATGATAAAAGGGACTTTCAGGAGGTCTAATAAGGCCGCTGTATTGCTGCAGTTACGATACTCATAACTCGATGCTCGATACGAAGCATCATATCCGATTAGTGAAATAATTTGGCATAATGGTGGCTTTGCGTTATTATAACTCTTGATAGACCCTTTTATTACTGGCCTTAATAAATTTAAGCTCTGTTATCTCTAAAATTATGTTGTCTACTTCAGGACGGTGCAGTTAGAATTTAATTATCTTGAACAGTGTTTGAGAAATTTAATCTTCTTAATTAAGAAGAAATTAATCTTTTTAATCAATTGCTCTTATGAAAAAAAAGTTTTTTGTTAGAAATCTTGACTAGCAACACTTCCGTTCCCTCCCCCTTATCCTTACCCCCCTCCCCAAAGTTTGGCCAATAAGAACTGAGCCACAGTGTATATATTTATGATGTTCTTTGACAAACTAAAAATACATTGAAAACGTAAATGTAGGATAGTGGCTCTATAGTTCCTAGAGCACTCTGGATAAGAATTAAAAAAAAAAAATGATGTTTTTGATTAATAAAAAAAATCGAGGTTTGGCTTCTATACCCTTTGTGAGGGTACAATAAACCAAGAAAATTATGAAACTTCTTGATCATATTTTATTGTACAAAAAAAAATATATTAATATTGTAATAAACATGTTGCACTGATGTTATTTATCGAATGGATAGTCTTTAGCGAATTATAAATTCTTATTACTTTAAATGTATTAATGAAGAGAATGGCCGATATACAATGCGAGAGTTATCGAAGATTAATTATATTTTAAATGCAGTATTATATTATTAAAAACATTTTTTTATTTATTTATTTATATGATATTTACAACTGTATACAAAAAATACATCTGGTAAATTCGCACATGGATATAATGACATGAAACACATGTTGAGAAACTACCCGTTGGTAGCACTTTAATAATATGTCTATATTAGAAGATCACGTGGCCATCTTCTTTTCAGACGCCTCGGAGGGTTATCAAGAATTGAATAGGAAGCAAGGTTAGAAACAAGAGGGTTGGGATGGTTATGAAGTTTATTATGGAAGGACAGATATCTGGATTGGGCCAAATCTGATACATAAGGAACATTAAGGTCATTATGGATAATTTTATTTGTTATAAAGTAAGGAGCATAGAGGACTTTACGAAGGATTTTGGATTGTAAGGATTGGATGCGAGAGGAATTTGAGAGTTTGGTGGAGCCCCATAGCTCAACTCCGTAAGTCCAAATAGGCCTCATTATAGTCATGTAAATGAGTCTTTTATAATTAATTGGAAGGTTAGAGCGTTTGTCTAGTAAGTGCTGAAGTAATCGGAAACGTCGAGCTGTTTCTTGTCGTTTCAGGCTGGTATGAGGATTCCAAATTTGGAGGATTTATTAAAAACATAAAGTTGTAACATAATACATAATAAGAGCTAACTGAACAATATACACCCCTAGAGATTGGGGGTAGGGGAGAAGTAAGAAAAGAGAATATTAGATCGAGAGGGGGGGGGGCTCATCAGAAGAAGAAAGTCGTTAGCGGATCGACACTGATGATGATGATTCCCTCAGCCCCTTCGACCCCAGTGCCTGGGGGGAGGGGATGGCTTTAATGAAATCTGTGGGAAACAGGAACACACACAACTCCGATGGGGAACAGTTTGACAAAAAAATCCGGGTCCCGGCCTCCCTTCTTGGTGTTCCTGGGTATAACTCAAACTCAGACCTTCCCG